GAGCTCGTGATTAGTTCTTGGTCGTTTTGAGCGGCTGTTGGCTTCCGTTTCATTAGTGGCTTCCGTTTCTTCATCAAGTCCGTTCTTGACAACCGGTTGAAAGTCAGACGTGCTTGCCTTATTTGCGTTAGGGCAGATACTGTTCACATTAAAATGTCTCATGGGTTGTTTCTTCTGCATCTCTGACAATCTGATTATGTTTTAGAGAGAGGTTATTAGTATCCATATCGGTCAAGCTGGCGTGCAGATTGGCAATGCTTGTTGGGAGCTTTACTGTTTGGAACACGGCATACAGCCTGACGGCAAGGTGATCGAAGACAGCGCGAACATCGGTGATGACTCTTTCAATACTTTCTTCAGCGAGACCGGAACCGGACGACATGTGCCGAGGGCGATTTTCGTTGACCTCGAGCCAACCGTCATAGGTGCCTTGCTTTGAGCTCCATTCTTTGTGGTTACCGTATTCAGTGTTGCTTTTTTAGATGAAGTTCGAACAGGACCATATCGCCAGCTATTTCATCCGGAACAGTTGATCACCGGGAAAGAAGATGCGGCAAATAATTACGCTCGCGGTCATTATACCATCGGAAAGGAGATAATCGAGGTGGTGCTCGACCGTATCCGGCGATTGACCGACAACTGCACGGGTTTACAAGGATTTTTGATTTTCCACTCCTTCGGCGGTGGTACTGGCAGTGGCTTCACGTCGCTTCTCATGGAACGATTGTCAGTAGATTACGGCAAAAAAAGCAAGCTTGAATTTGCCATCTATCCGGCTCCTCAGGTTCGACTTGGACTTTATTAGTTGACTTCATCCCTCTGATGTAGAATGTTTGCTCCGTTCAGGTATCTACCGCCGTCGTAGAACCGTACAACTCGATTCTGACGACTCACACGACGTTGGAGCATTCGGATTGCGCTTTCATGGTGGACAACGAAGCAATTTACGACATCTGCAGGTCGGTCACTCTCTGTCAATGTTGTTTAAGAAATTTAAATTTGAACTTTCAGGCGTAATCTGGACATCGACCGTCCAACCTACACGAACCTGAATCGACTGATTGGTCAGATCGTTTCATCGATAACGGCATCACTTCGATTCGATGGCGCTTTGAACGTTGATCTCACGGAATTTCAGACGAATCTGGTGCCGTACCCAAGGATTCATTTTCCGTTGGTTACATACGCACCTGTGATTTCGGCTGAAAAGGCGTATCACGAGCAGCTGTCAGTCGCTGACATAACGAATCAATGTTTCGAACCAGCCAATCAGATGGTGAAGTGCGACCCACGTAGAGGCAAATACATGGCGGTTTGTCTGTTGTACCGTGGAGATGTTGTTCCGAAGGACGTCAATGCTGCGATTGCTAATATCAAGACCAAGCGTGCGATTCAGTTCGTCGATTGGTGTCCTACAGGGTTTAAAGTAAGCTTGTTTTTTCGCGTTGCTGTTTTACCAGTTACCAGAAAATTACGTTTAGGTGGGCATTAATTATCAGCCGCCGACGGTTGTTCCAGGCGGCGATTTAGCGAAAGTTCCTCGTGCGGTTTGCATGCTATCCAATACAACTGCAATCGCTGAAGCGTGGGCACGACTGGATCACAAATTCGACTTGATGTATGCGAAGCGAGCTTTTGTACATTGGTATGTTGGAGAGGGTATGGAAGAGGGCGAGTTCTCCGAAGCAAGAGAGGACATGTCTGCATTGGAAAAGGATTATGAGGAGGTATAACGTATGCTTGTTCATTTTGCAGTACATAGTATTGATCTTGGTTTTTATTTGCTTAGGTTGGCATCGACAGTGTGGATGCTGAAGTCGAAGGAGAAGAATATTAGTTACAATT